ACCATGTAATATAGATATATATATATATATATATATATATATATATATATATATATATATATATATGTGTATGTGTGTGTGTGTGTGTAGGTGTGTAGGTATAAGGTATAATGTGTGTGTATAAGGATTAAGATATTAGTTATTGGTCATAAATCAAATTGTTATCATAATAAATGTGGCATCTTTGTCTTGACCCCTAAAACGATCCTGTATGTTTGTGGGACAACAGCGTGGGCAGTGTGCAGAGACCCCTGCCCCCTCACCTCCTTGGGGCCACAGGGACATGCTGGCTGCTTCTGGGAGCGGTGTGGGGCCATGACAGGCAGGGAGCCTGCCTCAGCCCTGCTGTGCTGCCAGAGTTTTAGCGCCTAAAATCTCCTGGTTTGGCTTCAGTAGCCTCTGGGAGATGGGACCTGATTCCGGAAGACTCCTGCCGAAACCGGGAGGGTTGGCAACCCTATCCGTGAGCTCCCTGCACTCCCTGGCCTAGGAAGGGGCAACAGGGGTAAAGAGACCCTGGAGCTGCCCCCACACCTGGCTCCCAGACCTGGGGAGGGCAGCAGTGGGAGAGGGGCTAAAGAACCCCAGGAAGAGCAGAGTTGGGTCTGGGGAGGGAAAGCTGGTGTGTGTGGGCATAATTTAGGAGCAGCTGGTTGGGGGCTGAACTGATGGAGAGACTGGGGACGGGGCAGATGTGGGGGCCAAGGGTCAGACAGAACTGATGTGGGGAGAGAACCAATGCCGGTCCTGGGTGGGAGCTGGTGGGGGTGAGAACTGATGTAGGCACTGTAAAGACAGGGTTGATTGGAGGATAGAAATAGCTGTTGGACAGTGGACGGGGAGACATGGGGTGAGAGCTCCTGCAGCAAGGTCCAAAATCGCCTTACCCAATACGTATTTGGGAGTGTGGGCAACACTATCCGTCACCCCAACGGGCCATGATTTTGGAAGCTCTGGGGTTGGCAGGACAGGGCTATGGGAGGCTGGGGAAGGGCAGACAATATCTGGTGTTGCCCTTCAGGCAGGCAGCCAGGGCCCACGTCGCCACGTGCTCTGCCACAGCGGGCTGGGCTGCGGACCTGAGGGGGGCACCCATGGGTGGGGGCAGGCGGTTCCCCGGAGGGTCAAACACCAGGCGCGGTGGGTTTGTTACAGCTACTGGGTTTGTTATTTATCTGCTGGGGTACGGGCACCACACCACCCAATGCTCCTGGGCACTGGCAATAGGGATCTGCACCTCCCACCCCAGCCCTGGGCCAGACCCTGCGCCCTGCCCCAGGCTCGGTCCCGCCCTCTCCCCCTTTAGCGTCTTGAAAGACACGTGACACTGGCGGACTTTTTTCCTCTCCCTGCCCTGAGATATCCCTGCGCCGCGGAGGAGGACGCTATGCCTAGCCATGCCTTTCAATCTGACCAAGGGGAGGGCGGTGATCGGCAAGGCCCGCCTCCTCGCGTCCTGCGATTGGCAGCGAGTTCTCCCAATGGTCGGCTCCCAGTTCCGTGACGCTAGCGGCGCGGCCCAATGGGAGCGCAGGGGCGGGGCTAGGCGACGGCTGTACGACGCCATCGCCCTCCGACTCCTCCTGGCGCGGAAGAAGCTGTTGTTGTTGGCCGAGGCGCTGAGCGCGTTCGGGCCGCGCCGCCGCCATTTTGTGAGAGTGTCTCGGGCGGGCGGGCGCCATGTTTGTAAGGAAGAAATAACCGGGCATCTCCGGCCACCAGCACTCCCTACCCCCCGTGTGTCCTCCTCCTCCTGTGCCCCGGGCCTGCTCCTCCGGGCCGCGCCGCCGCGCCGCCGGCCCCGCCTGCCCGCGCGGACTGCCAGAGCGGGCAGCGGGGCGGCCGGGCTCACCCTGTGCAGCCTCCTGCACAGAGTGACTGTTAGTGTCTCACTAAGTAACCGTGAGTGAAACCTTCATCATCTCTCCTCGCTGAGGGACCGGCCCTCCTCCTCCTCCTGCGCCTCCTCAGCGAGCCTCCTGCGCCGCCGAGTGCGCGCCGCCTCCTCCTCCTCCTCCTCACCACCACCACCACGGGCAGCAGCAGTGTCCTGCCTTCCTCCTCCACCTCCCTCCTCCTCTGCTCACCCCAGGGCCCGCACCATGGCCTTTGAAAGCCTGTTCGCCAACCCCCCAAACCCAGCCCTTGGCCCAAACATGCCCGACTCTGACAGGCACCATGCGGGGGACGAAAGGTCGAGTAACATTCTTCTCTCTCCGCGTCTCATGCCGGTGATGCTGTGGGTTAATGGGCCTGGCGGGTGAAGGGGGTGCGGGGCTGGGGGCCAGGTCACCTCCAGGCTGCGAAGTGGGGGGTTAATAGGGCGGGGGGAAGCGGGTGGGGGACTCCTAAGGACAGGGGCATTTTCTTGCATGCATTTGCCATCTCATTTTTTTTGGTTCCATCTCTTTCCATACAATGCACTTTGCAGCGGGTGTCTGTTGGCTGTCACCGTTGTGTTTGTTACCCCCCACCCCGTGCTGCTCGTCAGGGGGAAGAGAATGTTTTTATCTATGCAGGACGCCTCGCACTAGGGCCATATTTAACCTCCTTTTCTCGCCAGATTACACCCGCCACATTTAACTGGATCTTTTTTTTATGCAGATTAAGGTCTGACTGACGTTCTCTTTCTTTGCCACCTCTCAATCCCCATGCGCAGCAAACCAGAGTCCTTTTCCTGATGTGAGGAGCTCTGTGCCGGCTCCCTCCCTTTCTTTTCTGCAACTGTGGTTGGAAATCCAGATCCTAGCCTCAGACAGCTCTGGCCTTCCTAGCCACTGCCCAAAAATTCTCTTCTAGCCTCACCACTCCCCGTCATTCAGGGCACGTGGACAGAGAGCGCATGAGTGCCCTTGTAATGGTGATTTTCAACAGCAGCCCAACCTTCCCGCAGACTTCCCCAACCATTTACAGTGCTCTTATCAGATGATTGAAAAACATGACACACCCTCTGATTAAACCTCAAAACACCCCTGTGGGGTAAGAATTATTAATCCTATTTTTTACTGGTAGGGAAACTGAGGCCCACATAGGTTAAATGTCTTTCCCAAAACACACAGTGTATCCCTGATCTGGAATAGCCTCTGGATTGTTTAACTTCTAGTCTCATGATTACCCCTCCTATCTTCAATTTTAAAGTAATCTAAGTGCTACTGCATATAAAAGTTAATGATGGAGAAGACTACCTTTAAATACATTTGAAGAGTTCAAGGGAAGATGCATTAAAAAGTAATAATATTGTATCACTAGTCTTGAACTGTGACAGCATCATAAATTGTCCAAAGAACTTGCTTAAAAGGTATACTTGCATACCAGTCAAATATTAATGGAACATGCACTTTTTACCATAGAACATTGTTTCAGATTTTGTAAATATTTGGTTCACATTTTCATTAAGAATCTGTGGTGATGTTGGGGCCCAAGAATTCTTTACCACTATTTCACTAGAGACTAATATTTCTAATTTGAAATTCTTCAGAATCAGTATTCTAGCTTAAATTGTTACATGTAAAGTGCCTTTCAAAAATTATGCTCACTAGTGTACTTATTCCTACACTGGGAAAACTGGTAAATTCTTATTTTATAGCTTTGTTTAAATATCTTCAATTTAATAGATTAATTGTACCATTAACTTATTACATTTCTTCACATCTATTTATACTATTTTTTAATTCTAGAAGAACATAATGCCCTAACAATAAATAAATTAAACATGCCTTATAAATAATACATTTAGAGACGATCCTGCTGACTATCTGGATTACCCCTATTAATAGTTTATAGCAAGGTGTGTTCACCATACACTTACCATAATTAAAAGAAAAATAGTAGAGATAAAATATATGCCTTCTCATTTTACAGTAGATATGCAAATTCAACCCAGTCAAAATGCATTATACATTTTAGGAAGTTTATGGATTTTCCTTATGGATTGATTACTCTGAAACAGGCACAAACTCATCTAAACAAAAACACAGTCCCAGAAAACATGATTAACACTTTAGGGGTGTGGATTTCAGTTTGAACAGCTTTAGGTGAAATAGTTTTGCTTGAACTGTTCCTTGTATTATCTTGTTGAAAAGAAAAATGCAGTGTTTTTAGGTTGATACTTTGGATAAAATCTGAGTAACTGATCAATGTCCATTCCAAATTGAAGAAGTTAATAGAAGCAGTACTATAATATATTTTAGTAGCATAAAATTATAGTGTGTATAGTCTGAGCCAATTCTGCCTTCCATTCAGTGTTTTACTACATAAGTAGATCAGTAGTATGACTTTACTATGGCAGTAGTCCCATAGATAAGTAAGGGTGGCGGTATAGTAGGTAACCAGTACACAAAGGTTGCAGATACTGATTTTATGTAAATCAGTGACACTTCTATTAACATTTAGCAATCTTGGCATTAATCTAATCTTTAGAATTACAGAAATGAAATTTTCATTACAGCTATAGATAGTTGCAAATTACCTTTCACATTTACCCCGAGTTTGATCTTGTTTGTTTTTAAGAGGAAAGTATTGCTTTGGGCTGTAACTTTTCACGGTCTTACTTTAAAGATAATTTTTTTAAAAACAGAGAAAAATAATTTAACTCTTTTGACTGAGTGTGAGGAAAATACTTTTCTCCCCCAAAAAGCTGTGTAGGACTTTTTTTACATGCACAAATAACTAAATAAAAATAGCTCAACTTTCACATGAAGTTAGTTCTCCTGAAGGATTAATCACAGTGTGCATTTTTTAAAAATATGGAAAAAATAGAAACAACCCTTTCCTTACACAAACAAGAAACAAACAAATTGAGACTACAGCAAATAAGCACTAAACACAAAAATACAGCCCTATTTACATATACAAAGAACCACAACATTTCTGCAATAAAGCAGATGTCTTAAGAGGATAAGTGAATAGAACAGTCTGTGATCTCAAATAAATACATAAAAACGGGCCCTAATCCTGCAACACATGGTGTGGACAGACTGCTGGACTGCCCCCAAGAGCCCCACTGAAGTCAATGGGACTTGGCATGGGTGCAGCAGTGTGCTGGTGCTTCTGTCAGTTGCAGGATCAGGGCCTTGCTTTTAAACTGTGATCTGCAGGCATGTATATTGTTAAATCACACAGTAGATGATTTTACTAGATATATCCCTGCATGTCTGGCATAGGAACTGAATACTTAGTTTTTACAGATACAACAGAATATGGCACCAGTACAACTCTGACTACTTTGGTCTCCTAAATAATATTGAACTACAGGCTTATAGGGGCTTGATTGCAATAAGTAGGGCCATGTTTGAACTAGTGCCATGTTTACCGCAGCAGGAAAGTTTAAAAATATAGATCTTTCCATGTTTTGGGATGAATATTTTTATTTGAAAGTTCAGATCAGGTACTGGTTCCACTTTTGCAGGTGTATAAGGCCCTGTTTTGCAAAACTATTGTAAAAAAATTGTAAAAAAAAGAAAAAAATAATGACCTAATAAGTCAGAATGGTTAGGCACTAATTATGGAGGCTTTACTAGTGATTCTTTAGTTAATTTTGTGTTGTGATATCAATTTAAAGCATGACTAAAATATACTACCTCTGTTTTATATGATGAAGATTTAATTTAGTCTCCAAATCTGACAAAATAACTCTCCAAGGGACAGTTGAACTTCTTATGTAACTTTTGCAGTGAAATTTAACTAATTTTTGCAGAGGAATAATTTGAAAAAGTTTTTCTTTTTTTTTTTTTTTAAAAATTGGCTTGTTTCATGTTTTTGGTTCCTTTTGCTAACAACCACAAACCCCAGTCATCACACAAGTACGCATTCTGATATCCTATGCACATTCTGATAGTATCTTTGAGGTAGAAAATTTCTGACATTTTAAAATTAAACACACAAGATAGCCTATTTGAGTTTCACTGAGGTTAGCCGATGGAACAGCTCATTCTGTTACTACCATTTTCTGATGCTGTCCCGCCTGTTTCAACTCGCCACCTGTCATCTGCGTATATCCAGGTGAGCCAGATAGACTCATGGCTGCCCAGCCTGTCTCACAGGTTTTCTGCCTTTCCTGTTCCCTGTGGCTCCTCCAGCTATCCTAGGAATTTCCTGGTCCCTTCTGGCACCCCAGTTCCTTGGCACTTCCTCATCCACACCCTGGCAAGCATAACTTCAAGGTCTGCTACTGAAATAGTACTTATCTGACAAACTTCCTGTGGTTTACCAGAGTGGTGCTCTGCTCTGATAAGTCATAAGGCCAGTGGGTGATAGAGAGTAAGGATTGTGGTGGGAGAAATGAGGCTGGGGTTAGGTAGGCTGAGCAACAGTGAGCTTAAATTGCCATACAGTCTCTATCATTCTCTGCTCCACTGTAGTTTGCAAGTTCCTCGCCCCCAGCCTACCTAGGTCTCACTGGCTCCCCAATTGCATGGAACACTGGAGGATTGTTGTTCAGGGGAGTCAGGGAGCAAGGAAGTTGGAAAGACATTGAGCTTGAGAGCCAAAGCGCAGAAAAGCTGAGGGGCTTGAGAGGTACAGCCTAAGATATTCCTGCTATCCAGCATGCCTAGTCCCCCTTCTCTGCTTTCCTGCTCCTCTATTAATTCATCCTGGCTCCATGCTATTCTGTGTAATTGCTCTCCTTTTCCAGGCCTTCACTCTATACCTCTTGTAGGCCATTGCCCTCTCTCCATGCCCCCTCTTTTTACTCATGAGTGTTTCAGGTCTCTTCTCCCTGTTGAATTTGCAAATATTTGCCATGATCAGTTACTTTGAAAATTTAAAAATATATAAATATTTATTCACCACAGAAAAGAAATAATTAAGGTAGAGTTAAGCTTGTGGCCGCATAACATTGCCTAGTGCTGATCATACCTTTCCTGGACATGAGTTTAAATGTCCAAGTTCAAACCTTAGAAAATCAGAAAACGCAGAGTTAAGTTCCTCCACGTGTCTCTTACCATAAAGGAATGGCAAATGCCAGAAAACTGGGAAGTAGGGAATAAAGTGACAGCATGCAAGATAACTACTCAAGGCAGTGTCATGTGGCTGAAATCTTAATTCCATTTTAGCAAAGTCTTTTTTCTGCTGAATTTCCTTAGTTATTTTAAATAATAACATGAGACTTGAGAACAGTGGAACCTGGGGTTAGGGGGAGTAGTCCCGTCTTTGTCCCTGGCAGCCTGCCATTGCTCTTCCTGGCAGAAACCC